TGTTTTATACAATAAAATATATATAGTAAACCGAGGAACTTATTGAGAAATTAATATTAAAAAATCACAAAAAATTTTCAAGTAACCTAGTTGAAAATTTTTTGTGATTTTTTAATAATAATTTCTCAATAAATTCTACGGTAACCTATATATTTTATTGTAATAAATCTGATGTGTCCAACACATGACTTTCCTATCTAGTTATTATAGGCTTTTTCCTGTTATTTTGTACAACCTATTGCAGCATCTCTATAAATGTTTAGAGGATAAACTAAATATATACATTGTCCACTTCGAAACATTTTTCTATAGATATTCATTGAAACCGAAAATACTGAAAAATTTAAATTTAGCACTTTTCCTACAATTTTTCCATTACGGTCCATTTTAGAAAAATCATGTATAAACAAAAATTATAGAGATCGATATCGCAAACAACTTTTAGTTCAACAATTTTCATAAAAATCAGAATTTTGCACATTTTGTCAAATTTCTCGAATACGGACCATTTCAGGAAATTTTGACATAAAACAAAAATTATAGATAATAATATTAGAAGTAACTTTTACTTGAACAATTTTCTTCTCCAAACATAAATAATAAATATATTCCATAAAATATAAAAACGGCCTCCCATAAAGTACCCCCCCAGATGTTCCGACTTTGTCCAAAATCTAATCATTTCACGTCAGGCCGAAATAAACCTTAAGTTTAAAATTTAATGTTTTTTTCTTTATCCGTTGTTGAGTTTTCTTCAAAATTCGAAATTTACACATTTTCTCAAATATCTCGAATACGGTCCATTTTAGATAAATTATGTATATAATAAAAATAAACAACTTTTATTTGAACAATTTTTATAAAAAATTATTTTCTTCTCCAAACGTAAATAACAGATATATTCCATAAAATATAAAAATGACCACCTATAAAGTACCCCCCAGATGTTCCGACTCTGCCCAAAATCTAATCAGCTCATTGGATGCTGAAACAAAGCTTAAGTTTAAAATATGGTGTTTTTCTGTGTATCGGTTCATGAGTTATGCGTTATACAGACACACACACACACACACACACACACACACACACACACACACACACACACACACACACACACACACACACACACACACACACACACACACACACACAACACACACACACACACACACACACACACACACACACACACACACACACACACACACACACACACACACACACACACACACACACACACACACACACACACACACACACACACACACACACACACACACACACACACACACACACACACACACACACACACACACACACACACACACACATCATCGCGAAAATAGTCAAAACGGATTCAGGGGACCTCAAAACGTAAAAATCCGTCGAAAACTCGAGGTCGAAAAAAATCATGATTCCTATACTTTCCTTATATCTGTATACAGATAGGAAAGTAAAAAGCAAAACCTAAATATTTCAAAAACCTTATTTTTAGTTTTTTTCTACTCCATCTAATCAATAAATAATAGTAAAATTAACTATAATTCTAAAATTGTTGTTGAAGTCTTACTTTCTCATAAGACACTGTACAAACACACACATTTTTAAAAAAAAAATTCTCAAAAATTTGCACGGTAAGGTATAGTTAAAAGTTCACTATTAGATAAATAAGAAGAACATCTACTATTAGAAAAAAATTAATTTTAGTCATAATCTAATATTTTTTATTTAACATTGGTGGCGAAAGGACCTCCTTAATAAACAAATGAAAAGGTAATAATTTTGTTTCATATGAAAGAACGTAATAAATGATATTTTTGTCGACGACTGTCGGGAGTGAACTACCTTAATCGGTTAAAACCCACATGGATATTAGCTAGTCTAAGCACAGACTACAAAACGAAAAAGTATGCTATTGCGTTCAGCTGAACGAATAAATTTCATATCCATTCTAGGTAGTGAGAACACTGCAAAAAAATTAAATCCACCAATCATAGGACATCCAATTACTATTATTTTTAAAATTTTAAAGAAGTGACAATTCTGTCAAACTAACTGTCGGTATATTTTTTAGTTATTGAGATTAAATATACAGCGTGTCCCAAAATTCCGTGTACATAGAGCTACTGTATGTTGGTGAGATCAAAATAAGTCGATTGAGTCAAAATTACAAAGTGCCTCGTTTGCCTGTGACAAAGCTTCAAAGTGGAAAGAAAATTTTTTAATAACTCAAAAACGCTTTATTCAATTTTTATAAAATTTGGTGTGTAGCTATTTTAATTAAGGAGCCATTGTTCAAAGCAAAAATTACATCAATTGACATCAAGGAAGGGTAAAAATCACCCCAATCCTACCACACATACCTTTTTTTTTTTTTGAGGGCCGCCCCTGTTCCTTCAATTTTTTTTTTGTGTAGAGCTATATTCATTAGTATCATTTTTTGCCTCCTGCAAAAAACGTGTATTTCTCATGGTATTTGTGCATTTGTTAGACCACGTCCTGTAAAGCATGACTCGTCTATAAACAAAATTTTTCTGTGAAAAACTTAATAGGCCGCCCTGTGCTCTTGAATGACTTGTAAAAAATGCAAACGAGACTAATAATCAGAAGGTAGGAGTTCCTGGACACTTTGAATGTGAAAGGGATAAATAATTTTTTCTCTAATTATTTTAAGGTATGTGCTTTTTGAAACTCTAGTTTGGCGTGCCAGTCGTCTGGTACTAATTCTGGGATTATTTTCAACTATTTCAAGTATTCCCTCCTTTGCAACAGAAGTTCTGGCTTGACAAGACAGTCCAGCATTATTTTTGTTCGGTTTCAGTTGACCAGTTTCTCGAAGTGCCTATCTATAGAAGCAAAAGTCTGGTGATTCGGCATCTGTCGATTTGGAAATCTTTCATGGTATACCCGAACATTCTCACGACAGTTGTCATTACAGAAACCAAGAACTTGCAACATATTAGTTTGTTTATTAAATGTGTACTCCATACCAGCCACAAAAATGTTCCACAGGAACTTTGAAGCGATACAAAAAAATACAATACCTAAAATGAGTAGTATCTAAATCAGTAGTATCTATTATTTTTACAGTCCTACATCATATCTGTCAAAATTATCAAATTTATTATTAGTAACGTTGACAACCGCCAACTTAGTTTTCTTGAAAATTTGAAGTCACTAACCATCAGTCCATAATTTTTTTTTATGCAAATACCATAAGAGATACATGTTTTTTTGCAAGAGGAGGAACTTTAATAAAAATTTAAAAAGTCCTAAACATTTTAAAAGATGACGATATTTAACGATTAATAAATCTGTAAAAATAATTTGATATGATATAGATTTTTTTTTTAAGTTCTTCAAAATATAGTTAACAAACTACGTAGTGACAAACATGAAAATTGATATCATTAAGGACTCTTTTTAAATTATTTATTATGCGCGTTCTTTAGTAGCGTAAGTCGTTGAGACTTACCTTAAAGTAAAGTATTGATGTCTCTCTTTTACTCACATGCTACTGTGCGGCCTCTCCGCAGATAATATGCTTGTTGTAAATTATTTTTTATCATATATCTGCGGAGAGGACGCAGCCACAATATATCCCCCGCATTAATGTCACTGGGATACAAAATGTGACGCGGAGCCGTCTCTGTACTTTGCCTGCGGTATGAAGTCTAGCGCTGGCCATATAGAGACTACTGGTACAGAGTTAGATTTGTATAAATAGCGCGAGTTGTCGACGGACGTGCAGTTTCAAATGAAGTGTTGGACAGAAAAGATAAATTGTAATAAATAAATTAGAATTGTGAGTTATAAAAGTGAATAAGTATTATATAAATTAATTAGTACGTTATAAATAAATTGTAAATAAAGTGTTTTAAATAAGTAAACTATAAATAAATTGAACAAACGTTACAAAAAAATGGCTTTAAGTTATGCCCAGGGTTAAAATTTGGTTCAAATAACATAAATCCTTGTTGTTGCATATACTGATTTCTATTTTCTAAGTAACATTTGATAAGTGAAAGAAGAAGAAAATTTAATAGTCAATCCTGTCGAACGTCTTAGAGAAGTCGGTATAGATGACATCAACCTGGCTTCTACTATCTAAAGCCTCTTCCAAAAATTGTGTGCTGTACAGAAGATTCCACACAGTTGACCTGATCTTCATAAATCCATGTTGATGTTGTGATAATAAAGCCGAAAGATGTATGTTTATATAATGAATAAATTTAATTACGAGTTATTTTAGCTATCAAAATAAAAATAGCACCTGGATTAACAACTAGTTTAATGGAACATGCAATATATTTCTCAATTATTGTCGCTATACGAATGAATTTAAAAATCTCGCCATTTCGCTGGCAGAAAAGCAGAAAATTACGTTGTTGGCGGGAAATTAAAATTTCGCATTAGAGTCACATTTGAATTTTCCGCCACATCGAGTTTAGTGTCCCAGCCAGTCGCTATGATGCTAGAAAGTCGCTAGTCACGAACATATTCTTCTAAAATATTAACTATATCAACAAAAATTATAGGCCCTTTTTATTTGTATTAGAGCAAAGAATATGCCACGTTTAAAATTTTTTTAGGAATTGTTTGAACAAAATGAGACCCAAATATACAATATATGGCATAGTTTTTAAGGGATCCTGACAAAAAATGCGCAGGAATAGTTTTCGAGAACTCTTATGCACCGATTTCTCCTAGACTAGAAAGATAATAGTGAATTATAGGTTTGATTAAATAATAGGAGGATCTGACATAATCTGAATTCCGAGAAGACATTACCTAAGAAAAATTGGATGGAATTTAATAAATAAAAAAGTTACAATAGTCAGAGAACGTCAAAGACGATTAAACTTTTAATATATACGTATCAGTATGAATTAGAGTTGTGATACCAAAAGAATAGTTTAGAGTCAAATCTTTTTAGTTAACCACATACTTGTCATTTTAGGTGTTCTAAATAGCAATAACATTTGACAACAAATACTTACAAAATCCGCTGAATGTGATGAAACCGGCTACCATAAGAACTGGATGTAAATTGAACTCTTTTTTAGGATCCTCCCTCCAAGCGAATCCATGTTGGTACTGTATCACCCAGAAGAGGGTGAGTGCCAGTGAACCTAGGAGGAGTATGCTTGCGCATACCACCACCACAGTGTATTCCAACCAACTGCCACAGCCCCATTCATTCTCGTCTTCGTAGTGTCGATGTCTGAAACAAAAAGATTATAAATATACTATTTTTTTCGATATTTTAAATTATAAAAATGAAACTTTGAATTTACTATATACTATACTTCCATTTCGTCATATTCATTATTTCCATAAAATTGATAAACTTAATTTATGTGGCAGCATTCTTAGTGAATGATAAAGAATAATTAGCTCATCTGTTTCTGTAATTTTTCATAAAGAGATGTAGGTAGGTACTACTAGGTACAATTTAATTATTTCGTTAAATGATAATAGATTATGCCTACGATAGTCAAAGTGCTATGTTAAGAGTGTGGTATTGTGTGGAAGCATCAATAAAAGGATTATTCCACAAAAATTGTTTCTTAAGTACGCTTTGGAAACATTTACGAACATCCAGCATAAAATTCTTCTTCTTTTTAAGTGTCTGGACCATGTAACGGTTGGAACCGTTATTTCGTTATTTTAGACACAATCACCTCTTACTCAAATGTCACTTGTCGTCTATGCTTTGTGTCAGAGGAAGTGACATTTTGATTTCAAAGACAGCGGCGAATAGGTCACTTATATTTTGATTAATTTCGGTCATCCGAAGTAATAAATTATATTTATTTATGTTTATGACCGTCTGATTTTATACGGTACGTTTTGTTAATAATATGTTATTCAATATATATTTTTGTTCGATGATTTCTTGAGCAAATTGTCAAATTTTATACATAACCTCTATATCAACAATGAATGACACATGTGTTAGCTTTTATACAAAATTATATATTGTTTTTTGGAATATATTTAAATATATTAAATAAGATTTTTCCTTTTCATATTAATTTTAGTCTCTGTGAAATTATTCATTTAATAGTTAGAAATTATTCATTTAGTTAAAGCATTTTATCTAAATCCTTTCCAAATTTCCCTTCATCTATCTTAACATTTTATCCCTTTTTAGCCGGTGGCTATCTCTAGACGGTTTTGCGTTCGAATACAATAAGAATCATTTATCTTGAAGATCGTTCGGTTCGAATACAAATAAAGATAATTTATCTTGAAGATCATTCACGGTGCAGTCTCAAATGAGAGTTAGGATATAGAATCCCGAATCACTTGGTGGAAGTTGCTTGACCGGTATAACTATAATGTTTATGGATTGATGTACCTCTACAGTTTTGAGCGAAGGATGAAATACCTGATTTTACCTTAAATTTACCAATACCTTATTTACCAAACAGATAAGTGAAATTGATCTAATCAATAAATTGTTTTAAATTTAAATTATGTGCAAACTTATGTGAATTAGAATTTGATACCGTCCTTATCTAAAGCATGTTTTAAGTTTAATTTGTTAATGGTTAGTAATTTTCTATATTTTTATCACTAATCTAAAGTGTATAAGCTTTAAATATAGTGATGCCCAACTTCTTTTTCAAAGTTATTAGAGATATTTAAAAACCTAACCTACGCCCTATAAATTGAGCTCAAACACATATATCAAAGTAGATAAAATAACCAGTCTATTCATGTTACAACTATAAATGATTTTCCCGTTCCCTTTCATCAAAATTCTGTAAGCGCCAATGGAAATAACAGTTTTACGGAAACATACCTAGTTCATTTATTTAAACAAGACCTAAATAGATAAATCAACTAAAAGGCAAAAAGCAAACGAGTGCTCTCTCGTTACTAAAGCAAAGTGAACGTACATCTGGATATTTAAACACAAACTACAGACGTTTTAGAATTAACCATAAACCATTACGTAAGACTTTCACAAAAATGTAGAAGTTCATTCAACTTTGTGTTTTTGTGATTCAAAGATCGCCTCTTCCGTTTTTCTTTCATGGTTCATTAAAATAATTAAATTCATTCTACCTATTTAGCTCGAATTAATATATGTCCTCAAAATTGTGGACGGCCGGCGGGATGTGACTGTTTTTATTTTTTACTTCGTTGAAATAATTGAATCTATGAATATGCATGTCGTATCTTCACGAACGGGAAATCAGCTAATGTTTCTCACGCGTTTTTGTTAAATTTATTATTCAAAATAGGTATAGGAGAAAGACTAGATGAAGAAATAGAATAAAAACAATGTATGCTTGTTTCAAAACTTAAGCTAAGAGTAAAAATAATATAATTAAAAAAAAGGGGAGTGTGTGTTGTTTTAATTCCATTATGGAAATCAAATCCTAAGGCCCCAATGTTTAGTAAATTACTCGTTAAAGATGCTTTTTAATTATGTTAGTCCTATTGTAAACAGATTTTGAAGCAGTCTCTTTTATATTGGAAATTAAATTTCTACACTTAAAAAATTACACTCACAAATACAAAAGAGCCCCACTCTTTAAAAAAATATTAAATTAATATTTAAGGAAAATAGCGGACGCAAGGAATCAGCATAAACTGGTGTTTTATTTAGACATACAGAAACAAAAATTTATCAAGATACCTCCATCAAAACTAAAAAAACAAGCCTTTATGGAAGGGGCCTTTTGTGGATTAAAAAATCCAACAGGAAAAGGAAATCTTTTAATAATAACCTACATTCGAATTTTTGCCAGATGGTTTATTAATGTTCGAGTCAAAGAAAACAAAATATCACCATGAATAAATGGATGGCTTTATGTTTGAAAATTGGTTTAGGAAAATTATAAAAAAATCCAGCCAACTCCGTTATTATTTTGGATAATGCATTCTATCACAGTCGATTAAAGGAGTCACTACCAACAACAAGGTGGACAAAAGAAGATATTTCAAAATGGCTTCATTCTAAAAATATCAGTCTCTCCTAAATCCTTGAAAGTAGAATTACTTGTAATAGCAAGGCAATATAAAAACAAATTCAAAAATATATTATATATTAGAGAAAAACGAAATAAAATTCTCAGATTGCCTTCTTACCACGCAGGAGTTAAATCCCATTGAACTAATCTGGTCACAATTAAAAGGTTTTGTTTCTGGAAACAATACAACATTTATATTACCTGATGTGCGAAATTTGTTTTTAAAAGCAGTCTCATATGTAAATGGAGAACATTAGAGAAAATAGATTGATCATGTTAAAAAGGTGAAAAATTCATTTTGGAAAGTGAATATAGCAATGGAAAACTTAATAGACCCTATAACAATAAACCTCTGAAAAGACGATGATGATACCAATTGTTATTCTACGAAGTGCGCATATTCCATTTTATATACCGTGAGCTTATTTATATTATACAAGGTAGCGCAAAATAAAGTTCCCTATTTGTTTTTTGTATAAAAGTAAGATTAATTAGAAAACAGTCATATTATAAATGAAAAAAAAATTATTTAAACTCTAAAAATTTGTTTTGTTATATTATGCAATAATGAGCCCCTTTTAAAGCATTTGTCATAACTAGATCTAGGAATATATGCACCCAAAAAGTAGTTAAATATGCGCATATATATGCCGCAAAATACTTCAATATATGCGTAAAAAATTAAAAAATATGCAGAGCATATGCAATAAGAGTAATTTGTTATTTGACCGAAATAGTTTATTAATATTTATTATTTGTTTTATTTTACAATACCTAAAGTAATACTTAATAATTATTTAATTATTAACTAATTTTATTTACAAATCAACATTATTATAAAAAGAATGAACAATTAGATGTTTTCCTAAATTATCTGTATTAAATGATTGTCTCCTATCAGTAAGTATGTACTTGTACAAAGAAAAACTCCTTTCGACATCTACAGAAGTAATAGGTGCAAACTTAAATTTTCCTGAAATATCTGGATGAATAGTATTAATATCTTCAAAGTTACCAGAATAAATATTAGCAAGGTTTCTTAAAACAATAAATCCTTCATTTTTTAAAATTACATTTGAAAATGTATGAAAAATCGTCTTTCCAATATCGCCCTGGACATTTTTACACTCTGATTCAAACGTCTTAATTAAATTTACGGAAGTCACCAAAGGTACATTTTTTTGTTCTAAATCTAATATAATTTTGGGTACAAATGCATAATTTTTTAAAAACACTAATTGCTTTGGTAATATGTGATTTTGAAACAACTTCTTTGTATTAGATATTCCCTTAGATGAATCATCAAAATCAAATATGATTTCTTCTTTAATTTTTTCATAATTATCTGCGTAAAAAAAGGCAGCTTTAAGCCAGGTACCCCACCGAGTAATCACAGGTTCCGGTGGCATCTGTAATTCAGGAAACTTTTCTTTGTACAATTGAGTTCTTAGAGGAACTTTAAGAAATATTTTTTTTTTACATTACTAATTAAATCATTTATTAAAGGAATTTCTTCTGCAACTCTGTTAAGGCCATGAGCCAAACATGTAACATGGATTAAGTTTTCATAAAACATTTTTAAATTTTATGCGGCTATTACCATGTAAGGGGCAGCATCGGATAACAGCAATAAACATTTTTCTGTTGTAACGGCTTTCGGAGGAAAAAAGGAATACAATTCTGTCTGGATAAAACGAGTTATTGTCAAGTTATTTGTTTTATCTAATTGCTTTGAAGCGATTAGATATTTGCATTTCTTCGCGTAATGAACCTATCATTAAATGGGCTATATATCGACCACAAGAGTGTTGTTTCATCCACAATAATGTAGAAATGGTTTCCAACGGTAATCTCTCGAATTTTTTCACGAGTCTCAATGTACAAACTGTCAACACCACGTTTGCGTAATATACTTTGCTCTGGAATATTAAATTTACAGTATTTTTGCAAAAATGATCGGAGATTTGGATTATTTAATCGTATTAAAGGGATATTCGAAGTCACACAGCTTTGCATAAATCTTCATTAAAAATACTTAGCTTGTTTACTTCTAGACGATCCAGATTTTAAATATTGTTTCAAGGGAATTTGACTTTGTCTGAGCGTGTCTTTAGATTTCTGCTTTGCTATATGTGTTTTCGCGTGTTGGTCGATTTGAAACTTTTTTTACATGGAATCTAAAACAAATAAATTCCTGTAGATGTTAAAGTTTTAATTAAATTATATAAATGCGTAC